CCCGATTGCGGAGGTTGGGGTTAGGGCTCATGCGCTATCTAACTTTAAGTAGTAATTACAAGGTTAGAATGAAAACTAAAGCGAACTTGTGAGAGAAATACAAATTAAAACACCGCAGCTTGACAGTTTCTACTGACGAATTAAAGTTAAACAGGATTCTTGTCAAATATCTCCATAGCCAAAAGTTTTTCATCTGTTGAAGTACGCTTCCTTACGGTAAGTTGATTGTCATCGCTGTCTGTCATACCAGTTCCATGGCTGCTCCTACTTAAAGCACCATTGCTTTTCCCACTTTTACCAGAATGTATGGAATCCGTCCTCATTTTTCGCATCATTTCTTCCCTGAAACTCACTTTGTGAAAGGAATTGTTAAATTTGGGACGGAATCAATGACAAATCAACAAGACATTTCACAAGGACTCATAACGTAACGAATGGAACTTTCACTTCCGGAATCGTTCTTAATGTATTGATTTTGGGAGTGGTAACAATATCAGGTAACCTGAAGAAATGATGAAAATTCCCGAATGAGGTTTCCCACGCTCATAGATGCATGACTCTTAATCAAAAAATGCATTGTTGTTCCCTTCCAAAAGGTCGACTTACAATATTATTCCAACGAAGAAAGCATTCGAAACAAAACTTTGTGCAGCCCGAGCTTAGGTTTAAACGTGAAAAATCCACTCACTTTTAGAACATTCCCTTTTGACAGGTAAAATAAAAACTTTTTGTCATCTATCTCTAAGTTTAACAAGCTCCGTGAAGAAATTCGCTTCCGCTTCAATTTCCCTTTCTTGTTGATGACTCAAGGATTATTATATACTCCAATGGCTATTACAGATTTTCTGCAGTTGAAAACAGGACGAGTGAAATCCCTCAGAAACAGGACAATCGATGCCATTACCAACAAAGAAAACTGAGGAAATAAACGAAACAAAAGAAGGGACAACGCATGCACTAAAAAAGTTTCTTTTAAGTGCGCAGCCAAACAGACTGTTAAAAAAATCAAAACAGGATTTAACGTAAGGAAACTAGAAGAAAAAGTCACAAATTCCATTAATATTAAGAAGACAGTTTTTACCTCGTGTATCTTTTCCTTTCATCAACTGACTTTGAATGCCTGTTCATTCGGGAGCTCAAAAAAAAAGCATAAAAAACTTCCAATAAAGTAAATAAGAGGAAACGAGGAGGCAGTTGAACACCAATTCTTCAAACTATGTCACACTCAAACCATTTATAAAATGGGGTCAGCAAACAAGACTGCTCAAACCACTTAAACCACTTCCCAACAAAAAATTTTAACGGGGACAGCAATAATTGTTTTTTAAAAAATGAATACATCTTGATTTATAAAGAATAAAATCTTTTCCTGTGACCATTTTACGCGAAACAAAAAGGGGCACACATGACCACAGGCTATACGTGAAATGGTCTTTTGCGTAATTAAAAAAGGGAAGTTAGAGGTCCTACTGTAAGCCGAAAAACGAAAAAGCAAAATAATTCCTTATAGGCAAAGCCCTCTTGCCAAAAGAAAAGATATTAAATGTAAATACCGTGGTGATAATTGAGTCTGTAGGAGGTTCGTGGACGGCGATTCAAGAAGATTTTCTCTGGAGCCACACATACTTTCTGTGCTGTCTGCGTCGGTAGCTATTCCATTGTCATCAAAGTGAACAGATTGAGAGCCAGAAAAAGCCTCTATGTCACCTTCAGTTTCTATGTTATCCATACCAGAGAGGCTATCCATTAACCACTTATGGTCAGCTTCCAATTCAGACTAAAAGTGAAAAATCAATAGTTGGGAGCAAAATATCAAATAAATTTTGTCTTAGAGAAACAAGATTTCAAGGAAAAATTAAGTTGCGACACTTCTGTGATGGCCACTAACCACTGGGATCAAATTATCCTTCTCTTGGATTGAAGCTAGTGACGTCGTGCGAGCTACGACCGAAGAGGGCAAATGGGAGTTTTCGATCTTTGGAGGTTTCCAGCTTCTCAAACCTTCAACTAATATCTTGAACAACGTCCAGTCGCCTAGAGTCAGCTAAAATTCCATAACACGTTCTTGCAACGCCAATATAGAATAAGAAAACAAATAGCTAAGAAACCATAAAATGAAGCACCGTGTAACAGGGGAACTGAAGAACTCCTACAGCAATCAATAAAACTGTTTTCACGTGGAAAATTTAAGAAGGCTAGTATACGCCTACTTCTCACTAAAACCTCTAGCATCTCATACTATTTTACCGAAGCCAAAAAAGTATATTTTTCAAAAATTATAATCCGCTTGAGCGAGAAGACTTTAACTTTTTTAAGATTGTACACAAATCCACCACCCGAAAATTCCCATGGCAACACATCTAACAAAACCGTCCAAAAAAAGCATGAAACTCATTTATAGATAATTAGTTACAATGTTCAAGAACTAAATTTCTAGAAAGTCAATAAGAAAGAAATGCGCAGTCCGGACCCAACTGTAAAACGTACTGAAATTGAAACTGCAGTTTTATAGACTAACCTCCACTGTCTATCGTCAAGGGATTATAACTGAAAACCCGGCGGTAGACGCTTCTGTCAAGGTTAGAACTAATTTCAAAACTAATTTTAAATTTACAGGTAAACACTCGACACAATTTGCCAATTGCTTTGAAAAGTCAGGAGAGACACCTGAGGTTTTAAGATAGTTCCCAAAATCAAATGGTCTATGCACTTGCTTTAAACAATACTTCTCCTTGAGATGATAATATAATTAAGCTTAGCAATTACAAATGTAACATATGATGGTGCTCGAGGCTTAAAAGGCAACGGGAAAAGTTTGGTGACGACTCCGCTCTAAATTCCATTTGAAAACAACTACAGTTTTATAAACTTTGCTCAAAGCTTGAACATACTTTCACTGTTTGCTGCAATTCGCTAAAATCGCAGGTTGCAAGCACAAGTCCATTAAGATTTAACGTCCGAATCTTCTGAACAATCATTTCCAGTCTATCAGCCGAAATGTCCAAAAGTTTCACCAGTCTGATTACTTCATCAATCCTCATTTCTATTAAGGGTTGTCTGATCGTCTCCCACACGTTCTCATCCTAAAAAATTACAACGAAGTAAATTGTAGGGTTTTCTTAACTTTTGAAAATCAGTGTCCTTAACAACTCACTTTATACCTCTAGAGACGAAAAAACTACATCCCACTCTAAATTACATAAAAAATCAAGAATAGTAAAATAGCTGAAAAAAAACCTTAAAAATGTATTTTAATGGACCACTTTTAGGGGTATGACTGAAAGAAATGGCTTCTTCATCCGAAATTAATGGACCTTCAACCTCCAAACGTCTTTCTGAACGTAAACTTTACATTAAATGGGGTCGTTCCGCCAAAATAACAGAAAAAAACATTAAACAACCTCTAATCAACTTTCTCAGGTAAGGATCAAGATTTGAAGTGCATGGAAGAAAACGACGGACATGTCCCACTGTAAGTTGATCTGGCCCAGGTAGTGATGCTTGCTCCAAAAAGGGCTCAAAGTTATCAGGGTTACGATCCAAATCAATAAGAGGATCTTTCTTTGGAATCTTGTCTTTGAGCTGGTGATAGACCTGAAGAGTAACTTGACTAAGGAGGAGCTCTAAACACTGCTTCGTAAAAGCACACAGACGGAAAAACCTGTGCAAGTGATAAATGTTCCTGCGAGATATCGCCTGCACGATCAATCAACCAGCACATCCTGGAAGGCCACTGTTCGATCAGACTGACCCAGTAACCCAACATTACCCAAGAAAACTCAATTTCAAACGCTCTCATTAACCTGTAAGCATTAAGCGAATAATTACAAATATTGAAGTACATGAAATTATTACCTGCCCGTAAGAGTAAGCGCATTAACAATCCTTTTCATAGCACGTGGATTCATGTTTGAAAAATAATCATCTGTCATTAGTGATTGACTCAGTCCTTTTGTGCCGACAAGAGCGGCGCCTCTCCTTCCAGCTTTGGCATCGCCTTCTTTTAGTGATATAAAAGAGCCTGTAAAGTTTTTGGAAGTGAAAAAACCCTTAGCAAATTGTCAAGTTAAAGTTGCAAGAGATTTAATAATCCAAACTGCTCCATACCATGGAAGGTATCTTGACGTTGGAAGCGTGCTTTCCAGGCGCCTAAACTTTCCCGTTTCTCACGTAAATTGGCCTGCAGCTGCCGTAAAGCTGAATTGTGAAGATAGAATGGCATATTTACAATATTCTGAAAAAAATCAGGAGCTTCAAAGCGAACAGTTTTCTATAATGGAGTAATTTAACTGGAAAACCCAAAAAGTCATTAATGTAGTAAACAGTCAAAAATTTTCAATCACCTTCAAATAGTCGTGACCAGTTAGTTCTGTTCCCGCTAATGCAGTATGTAAGTTGTTAGTAATAGCAGAGATTATAATGTGAGGATCTACAGCGATTGTAACAATGAACGGACGATTCGCACGAGTAGTGAACAGAAGCTCCAATGCGTCCAAAGTCTGTACCATCCTTTCCTAAATAAACCAGTTCCACTACAAACTCCATGCATGGAATGCTAAAAATATCAAAGTCAGCAGCCAAATATAAAACATATCTTGACGCAAAATACCTGTTCGCAGTTGTCAAGCCCGTCTACAAAAATAACTAGCCTCGTTTGACTGCAAGTGAAGGCGTCCAAAGCACTAACTGTTTCCGTAATAACATTCACCTGAAGTAATTTGAAATAACGGTTGCAAAAATTTGTTTACACATCATATATCGACAAGAATCAAGCACTTTGTTTTGCTAATAAAACTCCGGCATAAAAAAAGAAGTAACCTCATGTTGCAATTTCTGCAAAAAGCCTTCAAATCGCAATTCGTTCACTCTTCTAATGGCAAAATCAACTCTTTTCTTTGAAGTATTAAAAAATCCATAGAAGATGAAGATGTAGACGGGGTAAACAGAGAATAACACACAAAAGCTGAGAAATGATAGAGCACTATAAAGGTAACTGAAAAATATCACAATGAGACAGCTGCTTGAAAGTCTCAGTGTAACCGAACAAAATTTAAAGAGCTTGAAGCTTACATCAAAAAGTGTCTTCAAATTCGTAAGCGGAAAATATGAAGCAAGAAACACTTATTTTACTTTTGGTCACGAAAACTACTGCAATCGTGAAAGGAAAGAATAATGTAACAACATGCCTCATGGAAATTCGATCATTCATGTCCTCCTTAACAAGCGAGTATTGTGCAAAACACACCAGTGCCGTAAACAGAAACAAAAGGTAAAAAACCACAAGTAACGCTACCGGTATGCCACAAAAACTTCTAAACCGAGAACGAGTCCGACGGGCTAAACTTGAAAAATTTTAAGAGAAGAATTGAATGGAAAAACAGATGGAAAAAAGAGATGAAATTCATATGTAGCATAATTATAAAACTTCAAGTCTATTTGTATAACTTAAACTAACAAATGGGAGTTTTGAGTGCGCATGCCACGCGTACTGTAAAACTTCCAAAATAATTTTCTGCTGCTTCAAATAGAGTCGTGATGATTTTGGCGATAGCGTGTTCACCACCAATTGACGATAAACGATGATAGTCGGCAAACAAAAAGCTTAAAACAAACTTAATTAACAAGAGGTTGGACAAAATAAAAGGAAATCAAGCAGATTTACCTGACTGGAAGCATAAGTAGGTCTTTCTCAGAACGAGCAGGTGCTTCAAGAAGAACGACACTTAAAAATAACCGGATCTTTGCCAAAATCTTAGCGATGTTTCTGCCGGTTGATACTGATCTATTCCATGCTTTCACTTCACTACCATAATAAACGATTGCTTCAAAAAATTAGCTTTCGGAAATGCATAAAAAGATTTATAACTACCAACTACAAGCTGTAAAAATAACATTAAACTTTACGTAAAATTTGTAAAAAATAACCTAACATAAGCATACCGTATACTGCAATTAATCCAAGGAAGAGAACCCCGCCTAACGATGCGACAAGAATAACCCAACGAAGTTCTCTAAGTACTGCAACAGCAGATACACATGTCAGTGTTAACACAGCAATAACCACTGCCAAGGAAAATACAAGTGACCAAGACCAAGAAAGCTGTACACCATCCAGCCAGCTTCTAGAAAACGCAGACATAGAATCCTTTAACTTCCCAAGAAGTATTGACTTTCCAGAACCCCACTTCGCATAGAGACCTTAAAAAAGTTATGCTCTAAAACAAGTGGAAGCCAAAGTCTAACTGTTTATTTATAATAAAAAACCAGCCGATTATTTCTTCACATTTTTATTTATGAGTATTCCACAGCTTTAAGACCCAAAAAAGAACAACTAATTTACAACCTACTGTCAACGGCATCGTCAGACTGGGTTCACAAGCAATATCCGCCAGAACATTACTGTATATATTGAACCCAAGCATTGCATCTCCCTGACCATCAGACTCAACAGGACCAAATATTAGTGGTAGAAGCGGCTGAGGATAACACTGGTCGATGAAGTACGGAGTTTGACCATTTCGGTTCGGTCTATATAAAAGCCGAGAATCTGAAGGGTTAGAAAGAAGACTTTGAGTCATCCTGCGTGATCTAGCTTTCAAAGCGAGATGGAGCGGATTATCGCCAGCGTTATCAGTCGCAGAAATCTTGGCTCCTGCACTAACCAACAGCTGACAAAGTGCAACATTCCTGTTTTTCACTGCTCGCAGTAAAGCCGTGTCTCCATCCTGAAAGCAAATTGCGAAAACACCAAGCCATAATCTTCTGAAACAAACTCACCTTGTTTTTTAATTCCAAGTTGGGTTTCTTCTCTAATATAGCCAAGACCATATCGGTATAAGACTTGTCGATAGCTAAGTGCAAAGGAGTTCGACTTTCCTTTAAAATTTTCAACGTCAACTATTCTGTGCACAGAAGAGTCAACATTTTGAGCAAAAACACAACTAGTTATCCAACTCATTTAACTACAGTTTCCTGGACTGATATCAAAAAAGGCTGATAATCATGAAAAATCTCTAGACTTCCAGAAGAATTTGTACAATAAGAAACTCATTTTTTAAATAGAAAACAACTTCGACATTTCATTACCTGGTCCTTAACATTTACATCTGCATGCTTGTCCAAGAGCATTCGCACAAGATTTAAATTTCCAGATCGCACCGCTCCGGCCAGAATCGAATTACCAAACTGGAAAGATACCGTTGAAAAAATCAAAAACCTCACAAATTCACTTTCCAATTACCTTATCGATAACATTAACGTACGCCCCGGCAAAAATAAGCATTTCGACAATCTCAGCATAACCTTCTCGCGCAGCGATAGCCAACGCAGACATCCCATTCTGCAAAGCTAAACTACAGTGAAATTTACAAGATAAGTATGTAGAGATCTCCTACAAAATAAAAAGTTGTAACCTGTTCAGTAACGTTTACGTTCGGCTCTCTTGCAAGAAGTAATTCTACGATGTTAACATAATTGCCTCGGGTTGCCAGAATCAAGGCGGTAGAGGAATACTAAAAAAAGAGTTAAATAGATAAAGTAAAAAATCACTCTATTTTTTTCAAAGGCCAGTTGTGCGAACTGGATTAAACAATTAACAGAAAGAAATAATGTCTATGGGAAAACATTTGAAGTAAAAGGTAATGGGCCAATAGTAACAATATTTAGTTGCCTACCATTCCTATAGCATCGATTTCCGCTCCTGCATTTAGTAGCATCTCGACTATACTAACATAACCTTTACGAGCGGCCCAAATTAATGCAGTACTACCAAATTTATCGCAAGAATTTACCTAAACCCTTATCACATCATTACTCTATTAAAAACCATACCTCTAAGTGCTTCTTAATATCTTCAACTGCTGATCCATGCTTAATTTATTCGTTGCTTCACAGATGAACACTGATTACAAACCATCTTGTTTTTTTTCAGTTTACCGTCCAAACCTTACTCAAATACTCTTCTGTTATTCTCATGATTTAAAATCATACTGATTTCGAAAAAATTCTTAAATCCCTTCTAAATCGTTCTCCTACACAAAGTGCAAAAAAGTGTAAGGTTAACCAATCAGTTTTTGCAACCTGTGCTCCGTGCTGTAGTAATTGCTTGACAATTTCTGAAAAACCTCTCGCGCAAGCTATAATCAACGGCGTTAACCCGTCTTCTTCATCAATTATATTAACGTGCGCTTTGTGAGATAGTAGAACCTCAACGCAGTCCAAATGGTTCTTATAAACGGCCCACATCAGGGGACTCCAACCCATCTGAAAAAATAGATAAGAAGACACGTTCAAAAAAAGACAATAGAAACAAACACCTACCAAATCTGGAAAATCAACCGCGGCACCGGCGTGAAGTAAGGCAGAAACAATGTCAAAATAACCCATATGTGCTGCGTTCAGCAAAGCAGTCCACCCATCCTGAAAACAAACTAAAATAACAGTTTTGAAAATGACTATCTGTTACTGAACATCTTTACAACAATTTTAGTCGGATGAGCATATATTAGACATTCCGAGCTCAAAAACCGTGGTTTTGTGAAAAATAGCTTAGACTTCAAATTTACAAACTATAAACCTTTACTCAAAATCCCCATTCGTATACAAATAGGAGCAGCAAACCCCGGAGTATTAACAGTTTGTAAAGCCCATTACACTAATATCAACACAGCAAGTAAGAACTTACAAGTCGTCAAAGGTCATTTGGAACAATGACCCTAATTTACGTCTAGATTTTTACAAGTATACATCCTACTGATAACTTTCGAAGCGAATTGAAGAAGAGACAAAAAAAAAAGGAAATACGAAAAAGTATTTTACGCTATCCGTATCATCGATATCAGAACAAGTCGGTAGTAAGTAGCTAACAATTTCCGGCTGACCAACACGCGCTGCTACCATAATTAAATTTTCTCCATTCTGTAAGAATTTTAAGTTCACATTTAAATACTCACTTAGGTTCCATCACCAGATAAACCTACTCTCTTAACAAAATAATACTTCAGGATAATAGGCACTACTTGCAAACAGCTCGAATTTATTTAGTTACACTCGCTGCTCTTCCTAACAGTAAAAAAACTGCCTAAACTTACCTCAGAAGTCCTTTTTCTTGGAAAAAGTACGATGCTACACTCCCGCCTTCACTTGATTTCTGTTTAGAGCATGAGAACTTCCCCGTTTTTGGTTTCTTACACCATGTTATTAAGCCCTGTTTACCTATGAGGCAATCATAGTGGCCAAGTAAAAAATTCAAAGCAACGAACAAGCAAAATAAAATTTTCAGGGGCTTATGGTGCTCCAACTACAAAGTAACTGATCAATCTTTAATCAGATAGGGTGGGATGACCGGTGGTTTGCGTTCAGTGCTAAACTCTAAAAAACCCCTATTTCCTCAGTGCAGTCATTAAAACGATAAAGCAAGCAACGAAGAGGATAAAGAAAAAAAAAGGTGAAAGAAATGAAAATGCTACCTAAAAAAACCTGAGCGTTAAAATTCTAACAAAAATTATGCACAGCCATTTACTGTTAATAGTGTTTTAAGCAAACTTATTAGTAATTAATAAATATCACTATTACTAATAATATACAGAGTCAAATTTATTCTGGTTTTTCTCAACATACTTAAAAAAACATGAGGAAATCGGGGAAAGAAAATGTTAATTTGGCACAAATAACAACAACAATTCGTCTGATTTCAAAGCCCAATGCATTAAATATTTCATAAATCAAAAGGCTTAAGATTCTAATCGTTAGATAAAAAGTAACACTAATTAAGACATACCCCGTTCCGAATTACTCCCGCATCGGGAAACTGTATATCCTCGACTTGAAGTTCCCCATTTTCGAGGAGCGAGAATATCTCCGCCGCACGACTAGCATCGACCATTGATGGCAGCGCTGATGCAACAACAAACGCGCCAGCAACTGCCTCCTTCCACATGCCGCTTTTATAGACAGCTATATAGACCGCTTAAAATTGTTTACACCATAATCAATCATTCACTTCAAAAGCAAAACTGGATAAGCTCAGTGCAGCACAATACCGTTTAAGCTACTCGCTGGGAATATCAGTTTCTGGCTGCCGGGCTTAACGTCGGCTCAACAGAACAGCAAACTATTCCAGTATGGACAACTAACCTGCAGAAAAGTTATTATGTAAATTATTGGTGATTTTGTTGCGCCACAGTGATTAACGAATATGTACAAATATAAGCTGAAATTGAAATTAAGCATTGTCTGAAGCGCATATATTCGAAAGATTTTACTGCGAACTCTGCTTAGATAAGTACAATGACAAGAGATTCAATTTATCTTATTTGAAGGAACAGCCATGAACGCGGATAATTTCGGGTGGTCGAAAAGAGGCGAAACTACTGAGAATGAAGTTATATCAATTTACGCTTTTCTTCCTCACGATGCCCAATTTTACCCTCATCAAGTCGTTGTTAACTGCTTACTACCACATGTCTCCAGTAAACCACTTCTCAAAAGTGCAACTAAATTTAGTGCAAGAGACAAACTTTTCCTTCCTCGTTACTGCACAATTTCAGCTATATAAACTTAACGGCACGAATGTTGAAAGATTTAGAGTAAAAATACTCCGGCGGAAGCATAATTTACATGAGCCGCGTTTACGTTTTAATATATTTCGACTGATCCATATAGAATTGCTAATCATTGCACTTTTTAATTTTTATCGAGGAAGCCAAAATGTGTACATAGCCAAGGTTTTCATATGAAAAAATCATGTAACGGGCGTACTTTTAACGCAGTGATCTCATATTTCTCCTATTTTAACTTAATTCCAACATAAACTTTCTGCAAAATAGTCTGAAGCATTACTGCGACTTCAGGAATACGAGAAAACTCTGCCGTTCGTGCTGTAACTGTAAAAAATTAAAAGTATTTTTAAAAACCATCATCTGTCAATGCAGTATCCAAATTTGTGTAAAAAAACTATCAAAAAAAAATTTGAAACATTAAGCAAAATTTTGTATTTTAAGACAGAATGCATAAATAACGACAGGTCCTCTTGAAAAAACGGACTGTTGAACGGTTGAAAAAAAGAGTTACAAGCGGAAACAATTCAAAACAAATACGGGCAAGTTGGGGGGGGAGGGAGGGAAAGGGGGATTAAGGAAAGGAAGAAGGTCTTGGCATACAGAAAACACTTTTTTTT